AAAAGCCCCCAAAAAAAAAAAAAAAACGATTTTGTACACATACCCATGGTGTTTTTCAAGCCTCTGGGGCTGGATTGGAACTATGACTGTCCCTGTGGGATCTGCCTCCCCATGCACAGGGCTAAGCCACTGTGCTATGGGGCCAGGTTGGCATATTGTTTTTCTAAATTTCTCTGTGTAGGGGTATTATTTTTTTTAAAGAGAGATTTTTTGCTATAGGGCACATGTGCTCACTGGAGAGACAGAGAAAAGGTGAGAAATCACACCTCAGGGGGATGGCCCTGCTGCAGTCCCTTCTCCTCTGTTTTTCTCTTGGGATTCCAAGCATGCATGCATATGCACCCGGTGAGTTCAGGTCCGGGATTCAAGTCATGCTTATAATTTGCAATATGTAAAATTTGATATTAATGTAAAGTTATTATTCTGGTATGCTGTCCTGAAAAATACATATACCCTTAGTCTGGCTTATTGAAACACATTCACAGACACGCACGTACACCCTGGTTCTAAGTAACTGAAGTGCACACACGTATGCCTGTGTGCACACACACCCACAGTCTCATTTAGCAGAACATGTTCATGTAAGCGCACGTGTGCACGCACACACACACACACGTAATTTGTACTTTTCTGGAACACACAGAGCCTAGTTTTGTGATGCCTGTGCGTTACTTTCCAGCCCATTTTCCTAAATGAGGTTCTAGTAAAACTACCCACTGACCCTTCTGGAGATGAGCCCGTCTTCCACATTTCCCACATCGATCGTGTCTACACTCTCCGAGCAGAAAGCATAAATGAAAGGTAAGACTGTCACCTCTCCTGCACCAGGCCCCAGGGTGCACCCAAGGCGTGCCATTATCTCGGGTTGGGAGGGCCATGGCTGTTTTTCTAGAGCCTCTCAAGAGTTCGATACTTGGCATGAAATTTTCAAAATAATACGGATTTAAATTAATTTTGTTTGAGGATTTTTATTTTTTAATTGTCAGAGGATGCATGCCCTTTCCAGAGAGAGACAGAGACAGAGAGAGACAGCGAGGGAGAAAGCATGGGTTGTAGTCATGCTACAATCCCTTCTTGTCTATTTTCCCATCCTGTTAGGATTTGGGGCACACACACAGGGCCAGGATTTGAACCACAGTTGGCCATATGGATTCACCTCCCTTAACCACTAGGCTGTGGGACCAGCCCTATTTCATTTTATTTTTAAGAAATTTTTATCATTCTTTAAGATAAATGGAATATCTCAGGTTTCCCCATGCTTCCCAGGTGGCAGAAACAAATGAGATAATGATTTCAGGGTAAACAGGCTACCCAAACTCAAACCCAAACCCCTCCTTACCTGGCTCTCTTGGACAGACATCCTAGACCCCAAAGCTGCGGGTATTTTGCTTCAGTGGTGCCTTCATGACTGTCCTGGAGCCAAATGAAATAGATAATTTTCTGAAGAGTAAACATTCCAGAGAGCATTTGTGCCAAGCAAGAAAACTGGCTAACGTTATTCCATATGTGGTTCCCAGAAGAAACGCAGGAAAAACACCGAGCCCAAGTGCTTCTCCAATGCACTTTGCTCTTGCATGTAAAGCAGTTCCCAATCTGGGAAGTGGTCTTTATTCTTCTCCTGGGTGATTTGTAAAAGAGATTTCTGGCCTTATTGAGCCAAGCGAATATGGGATACTTTTCAATAAGGGAGGAAGAAGAGTCATGTGCTGATCTTTCTTCCAGAAAAGCATTTGTCACAATTTTCTTCCATGGGGACACGAATGCAGGTCTTTGATATGGTTATAAAAAGTCACTCATGCCTTTCTTATTAGTTGTAGGAATAATTATAACATCGTGTGACATAAAATCAGACTCTTTCCTGAGCCTTTGTTGTTAAAACCAAACAAAGAAAACAGAGTTCTGGAAATGGAATTTAACAGACCTGTTTGGCAACTCTCTGTCTTTTCCTGTCCAAGGACTGCCTGGGTGCAGAAAATCAAAGCTGCCTCTGAACTCTACATAGAGACGGAGAAGAAGAAGCGGGAGAAGGCCTACCTTGGTAACGTACCTTTCAGCAGCAGCATGGACCCTGCTCCCTGCAAACAGGGGCAGGAGAACTACGGGGTTGGGCCCAGACCCTGTAAAGCTAGAAGGTGCTCCTGGAGGAAGGGGAGGGGCATGAGATGGCTTAGAAGTGGGCAAAAGATGGGTGCAGAATGAGGGATGGAGGGCAAGCTCCAGAAGCAAGAATGTAAGGAGGGAGGGGTTGCTTTTGTGTGGAGCAGATACCTGAAATGGATTGTGATGCAAACCGGCATGAGAAAGGCATCTAATGTTAAAATGAAGCATTTTGGTGTTGTTTTTTTCTGCCATTACAGTCCGTTCCCAAAGGGCAACAGGTATTGGAAGGTTGATGGTGAATGTCGTCGAAGGCATTGAGTTGAAGCCCTGTCGGTCCCATGGTAAGGACCTATGAAGCCTCCTCTCTAGCATGGCTTAGTGCTGGAAGCTTTTCTTCAAAAAAAAATCAACCAGCTTTATTTTATATTTTATTTTAGTTTTTAGTTTTGTTGTAGGATGTGCATGCTCACCAAAGAGAGAGAGAAGTGAAAAAGCCCCCCCACCCACCCAAGGACAATGGCCATACCACAATCCCTTTTCCTCCGTTTTCCTCTTAAGATTTTGAGCACACATACCCAGTGTGTTTTCTAAGCTGCTGGATCCAGGACTTGAAATGTGCAGTTAGCCATGTGGGATCCAGCTGCCTTAACCTCCTTGCCACCAGCTAGACCTTATTTTAGCTTTATTTGCCAGAGGGTATGTGTACTCACTGACGAGACACAGAGAGAAGATGAGAAAGCACCCTTATGAGGATAGCCACGCTGCATTCTCTTCTCCATTGATCCTTTTGGGATTTGGGGCCCGCCTACACATGTGCCCAGTGTGTTTTGTAGGCCACCGGTCCTGAGACTCAAATCATGGAGTTGATGGTGTGGGATCCAGTCTCAACCACCACAACACCAAGTGGCCTACCCCCAACCAGCTTTTATTCCAACATACTATTTCTAATCCTGTCATTCTAGAATGGTTTTTCCAGCACTTGTTAAAAACCTACAAGTGTTCTGGGGCCGGTAAAATGGTTAAGGTGTTTGACTCCCACATGGCTGTCCATGGTTTGAGTTCTGGACCCAGTGACTTGAAACTCACTCTGGGGCACATGTGCACATGTGGCAAAATCCTGAGAAGAGAATGGAGGAAAATGGATTATAGTGTGGCCATACTCCCTGGGGAGTGATTTCTTGCTTTCTGTCTCTGTGTCTCTCCAGCAAGTACACATGTCATATAGCAAAAATTTCTCAAAATAAAATAAAAAAAAAACAAAAAACCTATAGGTGTTTACACACACACACACACACACACACACACACACACACACATCATTTCTACCATTCTGTTTTTCAGAAAGGGCTGAGTGGCTGTATTAATAAAAGCTGGGATGTAGTGTGTGGGGGCTTGAAAAAGATTGTGGAAAAATGGAATTAAAGAACAAGTTTATTTTGGTGGGAAAAGTAAAATCTACGCATAATATTTTTCATAGTACACATTCTCCATGAACTTTTTGAAGACCCCATGTAGTCTAAAGCGAGAAGACAGGAAGGGTCTTGTTCAAAATCCTGCTAATCCAATTATCTTTTCTGAGTTCAAGTATGATGCTGCATTGGAGGAGTTTTCACCCAAATACCCCAGTTAGTGCCACTTATTAATTCTGGCAACAGAGGAGGATCAAAATGAGGTGTCATTCCCGCCTGGCGAAGGCTTTTGTTCACTCCAGGCAAGAGCAACCCATACTGTGAGGTGACCATGGGCTCCCAGTGTCACATCACCAAGACGATCCAGGATACTCTGAATCCCAAGTGGAATTCCAACTGCCAGTTCTTCATCCGGGACCTGGAGCAGGAAGTTCTTTGTATCACCGTGTTCGAAAGGGACCAGTTCTCGCCAGACGGTGAGTACAAAGCAGCCCCCTCAGGACTCTCCCTCCTTCCCTGTCACTCAGCTTGCACGTTTTCTTACCTGGGAACTTGATACCCAGAATTCCTTGGGCTTCCCTTCTGAGAGATGAGGTTGGCAAAGGACAAGACTCAGTCTCCCCTGGAGGGAGGCCTTCAATGGTTGTCTTAGCAGATATGACAAAGTGTGCTTGGTGAAGATTTAGAACCGTTGCCCCAGACAAACACCTTAGCCTTTGGAAAGCAGGTGACTGCAAAGAGAAGTGTGCCTAAGAAAGAGCTTCAATATTGTTCCTTAGTCCTTGACAAAAAACCGTGCTGCTGAGACCAGCAGATAGCGTAATGGCTACACCGCTGGACTTCCATGTAATCAACTGTGGTTCGAGTCCCAGGCCCGGTGCCTTAAACTCACACCAGGCGCGTGTGTGTGTGTGTGTGCCCAAGATCCCGAGAGGAGAATGTAGTGTGTGGAGGCTTGAAAAAGATTGTGGAAAAATGGAATTAGAGAACAAGTTTATTTCGGTGGGAAAAGTGAAATCCATGCATAGTTTTTTTTTTTTTTGGAGAGATTTTCACTGTGGGGCGCGTGCGCTCGCCAGACAGACAGAGAGAGACATAGAGACAGAAAGCGAGAAATCACCCCCCAGGGGGGATGGTCACGCCGCAATCCCTTCTCCTCCATTCTCCTCTCGGGATCTTGGACACGCACGCACACGCGCCCGGCGTGAGTTTTAAGCCACCGGGTCCGGGACACGAACCGCGGTCGACTACGTGGGAGTCCAGCGACATAGCCATTACGCTAACTGCTGGTTCCCCTGCATAGTATTTTTCATAGTACACATTCTCCATGAACTTTTTGAAGGCCCCATGTATAGTCTAAAGTGAGGAGACAGGAAGAGTCTTGTTCAAAATCCTGCTAATCCTCCCCCCCGGAGGTGATTTCTCGCTTTCTGTCTCTCTGTCTCTGTCGGCGAGTGCACACACCCTATATAGCAAAAACCTCTCAAAAAGAAAACAACTAAAAAAACCCAAAAAAAAACCAAAAAAAAACAAAACAAAAAAACAAAGAAACAAACAAAAAACAAACAAACAAACAAACAACAACAACAACAAAAATACTGGGCTGCTAATGGCTTGTCTTAGTCTGTTTTGTGTCGCTATAGCAGAGTATAACAAAGCGGGCAATATATAAACAGTAGAAGTTAATGTGGCTCACAGTTCTGGAGTTGGAGAGGCCCAAGAGCATGGTGCTCGCATCCAGTGAGGGTCATCCCGTGGTGGAAGGGCAGAAGCCAGAAGTGAGCTGGTGAAACCGAAGAGCAAGAGAGGGCTGCTATTACAGCGAGCTTACTCTCGAGATAACCAATCCACTCCTGAGATAATGGCATTAATCCACTAACAAGGGCAAAGCCTCGTGATCTAATCACCTCTTAAATCTGTTAACACTATTACAGTGGCAGTTAAGTTTCAACATGATTTTTTTGTGGGAACATTCGAATCATAGCATTGATGAAACTGGTCAATGGAGCAAGAAGAACGTTAGCTCATGACAGGTGTGGCAAAATTCATTGGCGCCCTTTGGATGACATTTCTGGTTAGGCAAAGGGATGCAACTGTGTTGGAGGCAATGTTCCTACAAAGAGCTTTCTGCTTCAAACCTGGGAAAGAATGGTCTCTGGCCAATGATTCCAAGAAACTACCCCTCTGTCCCTCAACACAATAAAAATCAGAGAGTAAGTTTAAAGATTATCTCAGGTAAGCTGTGGCATGGTGGCTAAGGAGGCTGGATCCTATATGGCTGACTGTGCAGTTCGAATACTGGAGCTGGCAGTTTGAAGAGTATACCAGGTACATATATAGCCAAAATCCCAAAAGGAAAATAGAGAAGGGATTGCAGTGTGACCATACCCCCAGGAGTACTTTCTCACTTTCCTTCTCTTTCTGTCTCTCTCTGGCAAGTGTGCTTGCCCTATAGCAAGTTTAAAAAAAAAAAATTATTGAGGACCAGCAGGTGCCATGGTGGTTAAGGTACTGGACTCCCACATGGCCAACTGCAGTTCAAGTCCCAGACCTGGCAGCTTGCTTTCTCTCTTTCTCTCTGCTGAGCACACATGCCCTATAGTAAATTAAAATAATAATAATAATAAATAAAATTAAATAGGGAGCGGCAGATTGTGTAATGGTTACGTTGCTGGACTCCCATGTAGTCATCCATGGTTTGAGTCCCAGACTCAGCAGCTTAAAACTCACGCTGGGCATGTGTGTGTGAGTGGTCAAAATCCCAAGAGGAGAACAGAGAAGGGATTGTGGTGTGGCCACCCCCACTGAGGGGTGACTTCTCGCTTTCTGTCTCTCTGTATCTCTGGCAAGCTCACATACATTAGAGCAAAATTCTCTTTTAAATAATGTTAAAATTAATTTTAAAAAGATTATCATCTCAATTTAATTATGATCAAAGGAGTATAATTAAGTGCTGGGAGTGAGGGTCTAAAGCAGTCATTATCTGTGCACAGCTTACATGGCTCCGCATGGCCTTTATGTTTTAGTACTTTTTTTTTTTTTGAGAGGTTTTTGCTATAGGGCGCGTGCGCTCGCCAGACAGACAGAGAGAGACAGAGAGGAAGTGAGAAATCACCCCCCAGGGGAATGGTCACGCCGCAATCCCTTCTCCTCCATTCTCCTCTCGGGATCTTGGGCACGGACTCACACACGCCCGGCGTGAGTTCTAAGCCACCGGGTCCGGGACGCGAACCGTGGTCGACTACATGGGAATCCAGTGACATAGCCATTACGCTAACTGCTGGTTCCCTATGTTTTAGTACTTTTCATATGAGTTACGTCATTAGAAGTTCCGTGACAGAAACAGCCACATAACTAGTTAGATGTTAGAGCTGGGCCAGGACAGGCTGACTCCCAAGTCCATGTTCTTGACCTCTGTATTTTATTGTCAACTTCTTTTTTCTTTTTTGAGAGGTTTTTGCTACAGGGCTCATGCGCTCACCAGAAAGACAGAGACAGAGAGACAGAAAGGGAGAAATCACCCCCCAGGGGGGATGGCCATGCCGCAATCCCTTCTCCTCCTGTACCCCACATGATTTTTTTTTTTTTTTGGAGAGATTTTCACTGTAGGGCGCGTGCGCTCGCCAGACAGACAGAGAGAGACATAGAGACAGAAAGCAAGAAATCACCCCCCAGGGGAGATGGTCACACCGCAATCCCTTCTCCTTCAGAAATCACCCCCCAGGGGAGATGGTCACACTGCAATCCCTTCTCCTTCATTCTCCTCTCGGGATCTTGGGCACGCACACACACGCGCCCGGCGTGAGTTTTAAGCCACCGGGTCCGGGACACAAACCGCAGTCGACTACGTGGGAGTCCAGCGACATAGCCATTACGCTAACCGCTGGTTCCCTACTGGGCATGATTTTAAGCCACCAGGTCCAAGACTCGAACCACGGTTGACTACATGGGAGTCCAGTGACATAGCCATTACGCCAACTGCTGGTCCCTATTTTCAACTTCTATTCTGATAAGTAAAGATTTAGGGCTGGATTTTTGTCTTCTTTTTTTAAAAATGAAGGATCATAACACATTGACAACCTCACTGGGGAATGAGTTGGGAATCCTAGTGCTGGTTTTATATTAGAAGTTATTCCCAAGCAATTCACATCAGGCAAAGTAAACCTATTTCTGCCCACCAAAAGAATTCTCAGGTTGGGACCAGCAGATGGTGTAATTGCTATGTCGCTGGACTCCCACGTAGTCGACTGCGGTTTGTGTCCCGGACCCGGTGGCTTAAAACTCACGCCGGGCGCGTGTGTGTGCGTGCCCAAGATCCCTAGAGGAGAATGGAGGAGAAGGGATTGGGGCATGACCATCCCCCCTGGGGGGTGATTTCTCGCTTTCTGTCTCTCTATCTTTCTGGCAGTCCTGTCTGTCTCTCTGTCTCTCTGTCTCTCTGTCTCTCTCTGTCTTTCTGGGGATCTTCTCCGTCTTTCTAAATGGTCCTGTCCGTTTAGCAGCATTGTGTATTTGCATAGCACTCAACAGATTTTCAGACACATTCACATCCATTCTCATATTGTCAGTCATCCACTATTTGATGAAATGTGTTAAGATTATTCCAGAGTCGGGAACTAGCAGTTAGCGTAATGGCTATGTCGCTGGACTCCCACGTAGTCGACCGCGGTTCGCATCCCGGACCTGGTGGCTTAAAACTCACGCCGGGTGCGTGTGCGTGCGTGCCCAAGATCCCAAGAAGAGAATGGAGGAGAAGGGATTGCGGTGTGACCATCCCCCCTGGGGGGTGATTTCTCGCTTTCTGTCTCTCTGTCTCTCTCTCTGTCTTTCTGGTGAGCGCACGCACCCTATAGCCAAAACCTCTCCAAAAAAAAAAAAAAAAAGAGATTATTCCAGAGTCTGTCTGGATGCATACAGCTTACACACTGTTACCACCTCTCCCACCTCCTCTAGTTTGCCCTGGAATATACAGAGGGGCAGTATAGAGACCAGCCAATCTCACCATCCTTGACTCTTCTCAAAGGGGTGTTAACTTCACACAGCAAGAATGTGTTGACAACCCTTAGGAGAAATCACTGTCTCATTTCTAGCCTCCAAATAGTTGTCTTTCTTCCAAATAGTTTTTTCTTTCTTTATGAGAGAGAAGAAAAGGAAGAGAGCCAGAGATAGGTATTTATATAATTATTATTATTATTTAGGTTTTTGCCATAAGTCATGTGCATTTGCTAGAGAGAGACAAGGAGAGAGAGAGAGAAAGTCACAATGCCAGGGGGATGGCCATGTCACCATCCTTTCTTCTCCATTCTTTTCTCGGGATTTTGGGCATGCACACACATGTGCCTGGCATGATTTTCAAGCGGCTGGGTTCAGGACTTGAACCACAGTCAGCCATGGGGGAGTCTAGCATCTTAACCACTGTGCCACTTGCTGGTCCTAAGGTAGGTACTCCTGATAGGATCTTGCTGTGTCATGGTCCTTCTGCCCTCGCCTCACACTTAGTTACCATCACAGTTGCACATAACCATACCCGGCATTGAGGTTGACCTGGGAACCCAACCCAGGCCTCTCATGTGGCCTTTAGCCTCCTAAACGGTAGCTTTTCATGCCACTGTGTCTGGGCCTGGGTGATATTTTCAAAATTCACCATAATCACAAATTGTGCAACTGATATGACATTTGCATTCACATCACCTCTTAGAAAGCTTATAGCCCTTTGGAGGTCCAAAGTGTGGGCTCCGTTGTTGTTTCATTAGTTTACTGATTCTTGCAAACTCAAGGGGGAGTGTACCAATTCATCAGGGGATTCCCCACCAAATACAGTCCTGGAAGAGAAGGAATTCTCTGTCTGAACAGGGTCTGTCTGTTCTCCTTTCAGATTTTTTGGGTCGGACAGAGATCCGCGTGGCAGACATCAAGAAAGACCAGGGCTCCAAGGGACCAGTTACCAAGTGTCTTCTGCTGCACGAGGTCCCCACAGGAGAGATTGTGGTTCGCTTGGACCTACAGTTGTTTGATGAGCCGTAGGGAGTGGCCCCAGGATGTGCTCAGCAGAGTTCCAGCCAAGGCAGCCATGCTGTCTGGACTTGTGTTCCTCTGTAAGAACCCACCATTTGGTGTTCAGTCACAGGGCAATGGGACAGCAAAGACAGGCCCTTCAAAGTTTCTAGGAATAATTCTTGACAATCCTCCCCTTCCCCAACAATGTCCTATTTTGTGAAACAAAACTATTTTCATTTGTCCTCACTGCAGGTCTCATCATGGATTCTAAAGTCTCTGAAATTCCCCCACTAGATTTGGTTGAGAGTCTGGTCCTTCGCCAGACTTGAGGCATGGGTCTGGCTAGTATGAAGTAGATTTATAAATGCACTGTGTGTATTTTTGAAGAACTCATGTATCCTCCTCTTTCTTACCTCCACCAGCTCTCAGTGGGCCACCTTGGCCTAAAATGCCGTCTTTGGTGTGTTTAGAAATCATGATGATGGTCCTGTCACTGCTTCTGAATCTCATTCCCCACAGGGAAAGGCTGCCCTGGTTCTGATCACTTGTGATGGCTCCTGCTCTTGCACTGGCTTAGCTCCTTAAAGAGCTGGTCCATGGAGGATTCAGCATGTGTGCTGTTTCAGCCATTCCAGTCTCTTCTAGGCCTTGCATTAATCTGTCAATGAATATGCACTGGTGGGCCATTGAGTGATTAAATTCTGATTCCCAGCATGCTTGGAAGATGGTCTCGGAAGCTCATTGTCTACAAAGTTATGCTCTGCTGGATTAGATCGCTGCAGGCCACCAGAAAGGCAACTTCACAATGTCTTTGAGTCCTGATTGCCCATCATTGTTGAAAAAGTCTCTTAACTCAGAGGTCCTGTAATGTTTCATGACACAACTTGTCACTGGTGACCAGCTCTGAGCCTTTCTGTGCTTGAATGTATTGGATCCTGACCGTCATGAAATTCCAGCAACTGTCTTTGGTATGATCTTTCAAAAATATGTCCTGGATACCCAAGGCATGAAAAGGAAAAAAATGGCAAGCAGAAGGTGAATGGAAAGATGAGAAGAAAATCCGTTATGTGGTAAGGGAAAGACCTGTGAAGCAAACAAGCCTCTCAGCTCCAGGAAGGAAGATCTAAAGTTCTTTCCCACTCCAGCCACACACACCCCCCCAACCTCTCAGTCGTGGAAATCTGTGTAGTGTCGCCAGAGTCAGGGCATGTACGACCATAGCCAAGCTGTTTGGTTTGAGTTCTTTGAAGTTTTCCCCCTTAAATGACAGGAGAGAGGCCGGTTAGTTAGATAATAACTTGATTTGCTAATGAAAAATGTGGGCCATATTTTGTTCGCATGTTCATGTTCTCATAATCCTAGTTTATCATGGTCATGAAATGTTCTTTGCATGTTCTCTTTGGTACTGCAATCTAGCTTCCCGGCATGCGATGGTGTTCTCTTTGACTGTAGGTCCTTAGACTTTACTTAGGTCTGTAGAAGCACCTTCTGAACGATGGCATCAGCGTAGTGACAGAGCACCTGCTTCGCTGGGAACCGGATGCCTCGTGTTGTCATTTCCCATAATGGTCCTGTCACATTTCAAGCAATTTTTTAAAAGTGTATGTTGGAAAGGACAACAAAGTTTACATTTCATATTTTTAAGAAACACTTTATTATTTATTTATTGCAGATAGTGTAGAATTTTGTATCCAAGAACAACAGACATACGTATTTTTTGAACTAAGCAGATAAACCCTTTAGTTAGAAACTTTCAACTGAACATGTTGAAGACCAAGTTTGACTTCAGGCATGCATTTGTTTACCACTTCCCAGCAGAAAACATGGTGAAAATACTTTACGTTTATATTTTTTGATGTTGTTAAGAAACCGTTTCAAATGAAATCTCCAAATAGACACGTAAGTCATGCTTTTCCTCTTTCTATAGCCGTGCAGTTTGTTCCGTGTATTTATGAAGGGCATGTTACCATGACAGGAAAAAGTACTGAATGTGTAAGTGGGGTAGTGCTGGGTCACCATTCCAGTTCCTCCTTTCTGTTCTCCCCTCTTCCATGGATTTTATTTTTGTGTTAATGTTGGACATCACTGTTCGTGTATGTAGGGTGTGGTATGCACAATGACAACTTTTTAGAACCCTTTGAGGTCCTAGGTCACTCACTTGTTGCGTCCCATTATTGGAATTAATGTAGCATGAAAAAGCAGTATGTGAGTCTTGTTTTCTCCAAGTGACTCTTGAGCGTCCTTAAGATGCTCTCCCAGTGTAGCAAGTTCCTTATTAGTGTCCTTCTATCTACTGGTGTAATTTGGGATATGACTGATTGTACTTTTGGATGAGCTAGGCTGGCCCTCAGATTCGACTGTGATTCATGAGTCATTTGGGGGGTTACAGGAACATGGGTGAAACATGAAGCATCACTCTTGGACTTCTATTACTTCACATCTGTGTTTTTGACCTTCTGGACTACATTCCATTGAGATGAAATGCCCCTTGCCATTAAGGAGTCTGTCTCCTAGCACTTCGCTTTCTAAATATAAGTTTTCTCTAAGCCACTGCATCCTAGCATCCTGATCTCAGCGTTTTAGACACCCACAAGCATGCCCTTTCTCTGAGCCATGCTGCAGCTCTTCCTGTATACTCTGACTTCCTCTAGACTCTTTTCCGGTCACATGGCTGTGCTCTGGCCCCAGTCATCTTCTAAGGACAGGAGCTCTTGGGCTGGACCGTCCTTATTGACCAGCTCTCCCAGAGGGACAGTCTATGTCCTGATCCCTTTGGGGTAGGGCTTCTCTCTTATACCGTTTCCGATGGCAGGTAGATAGCAGCAGCAGCTCCTGGAGACCACAAGAACCTGAAGACTTGGTTCAATCAGATCCAGGCCTACCCTATTCTGGCAAGAGGTACCTTTCTAGGCTAGTCACAGGCATGTTTGTGATACAGGAGCCGGGCCTCTTGTTTGATTCTTGGATAACGTGCCCCTGTCCTCTGACAGCACAGAGGAAAGCTCTGCTTCTCAAGAACGTGCATGTAAGAGGGGGCCTTTTTATTCATCTTTCCTTTTTGCAGAACTACTGAAAAAGAATGACGTAAGAATATGAAGTAACTGATTTCATCTGGTTGAGTATCTTTGAATTCAGTCAGAAAAAGTCCCATCAGAAAATGGGTACAATTGATAACTTGGATTTTATCTTATCTCAGTAACTGGTACCAGACCCAGTGTGTCTTCCAGGCCTATATTCCAGAGTCAGGGGAACTGGGTGCTAGAACCATTGGGGAGGGTTGGGGAAAATGGGTGCTAGGACCATTGGGGAAAGATGATCGCAGGTCTGCCTTCCGTGGCCCAGAGACTGTCTCTCCAGGAGCTGGCTGAGGCAAGTGTAACGCCATTAGCCACACAGCATGAGGGGATTCTAGCACAGTAGTCAGTGGAGCTGGAGATCAAGGGGGACATGGACCGTGCACTTCTGATTTTTTTTTTTGGAGAGGTTTTTGCTATAGGGTACGTGCGTTCACCAGACAGACAGAGAGAGACAGAGAGATAGAAAACGAGAAATCACCCCCCATGGGGGATGGCCATGCCGCAATCCCTTCTCCTCCATTCTCCTCTCGGGATCTTGGGCACGCACACACACGCGCCCGGCATGAGTTTTAAGCCACCGGGTCTGGGACTCGAACCACGGTCAGCTACATGGGAGTTCAGCGACATAGCCATTACGCTAACTGCTGGTTCCACTTCTGATTTTATTTGAAAGGTGGAGATCTTGGAGAGTATTTCAGAATTTGTCAATACCCTCTACGAGGAAAAAAAGGTTACTCTAGCTGTAACCCAAATAGTTTTTTCCCTAGTTGGTTGGGCCTAGTTGGTAATCTATAAGAAGACATTGTGTTTTGAGTATATACCAACTTTAAGAATTGCCATTGGAAATAGAAAGTATGATTTGATTTGATTTATAACTCTCCCTTCCCTTTCAGCATTGGAGATGTGGTTTGTAGCAGACATAGCACTTTTACATAGACAGGCAGTACACTTCAGATATAACAGGTTCATTGCAGGCTTGGGGTTAGTGTAAGATTTGTAATAGGTCTGCTTGTTCCAGATATACTTGTTTACAAGTTTAGAGCATCCTAGGCCAGAAAGTGGTGAAAACAAATGCACCTGGACATTTTTGTTTTGCTTGCAGGTATCAGCGCTTTGGCTTATACCAGGAAGAACTGCAATCGGTAGCCCCTGAAACCTGTGGCACTGTGGAGCCCTAGGACAGTGCAGTCTGGAGTCTCTGTAATAGACGTTTGGTAAAACAAACACCTTTTCTTTGCACCTGGGGGCCCTAATGTGCCTGCCAGGGACTTCCCCTTGCTGCCAGGAATGGCCCAGATCAGCTGCCAAGTCTCACCTGGTAGGGCCCTGAGTCATGTTTCATAGGTGCTGCTTAGTATTGTGTAAACATAGTTGGGATTTCCATTGTCCTTCTTTCCCTGGAATGCCCAGGGAGACCAACTTCTTAACCTCTGAGTTTCTGATTCATTCGTTCAAAGGATACATTGAAGTTGGATCCATTTCTGGGAAGGCGGGCATCAGATGAGGGTTGTTTGGCCAGCCTGTGCTCTGGAACAGATCTCGGGGACAGAGCCAGACTGGTACAAATAGCAAGTACTTCCCTCGTACAGTTCCGACCTGCCTGGGCTACCGTAGGGTAGGTTAGGAATCACAGCTCAGGAATGTTGATTATATTGAGCTGTGGGCTTCCTCCATCTCCTGTATAAAAACACACAGTTCCTTTTAGGGAGGCTCAGTGCTCAATAAAATGAGGACATTTTCTTTTCTTTTTCTCCCTCTCTCTTTAAACTCTACTGTAATTGCTGACCTGCCTCAGACTTGTCATTGTGCTTCAGGCTATACCCACAAGGTGACAGCCTAAAGCAGTATAAAGAAGAACAGGGAGGGGGACCTGCAGGTGGTGTGATGGTTAAGGTGCTGGACACTCCCACATGGCCGACCAGGGTTTGAGTCCTGAATCTGGTGGCTTGCTTTCTCACTTCCTCTCTCACTCTCACCCTCTGTCTCTCTCTGGTCAAATTAAAAAATAAATGAATGAATACATAAAATAATTAATAAAGAAAAGACCAGGGACTGGTCAGTGGCATAGTGGTGACCCTGTTCAAGGCTGACCCACATGCAAAGGTTCCAGGGTTCATGTCCAGAGATCTCTGAGTACACTGGGCATGTCCTGCAGCCTGGCTGCGGCTAGGGGTAGATTGTGTGTCAAGATGCCATTAGGGGTGCTGTCTCTGTCTCTTCTTTTTCTCCTTCTCACTCATGAAAGAAATAATTAAAAAATGAAAAGATGAAGAAGAAGAAAGCACAAAGACTGAGGGTGAAAAGAAACTCAACAGGCCCTGAGCAGCTCCCTCCAGATCTTTAGCTGACTTGGTCATACTGGTTTGAGAAGAGCCAGGTGACAGCTGTCCAGCAACTTATCCCTTTTGGGGGCTCCACAGATGACATGGTCCCAGGAGAGGCAGCCCTAGACCCATTTGTAGCCCCCAGGCCCTACGTGCCAGATCTGTCTATGATGAAGCCGCAGCCCATCCCTGCTTGCCTGGTCATGGTGGCTAGTTTTCCAAGGGCAACCCCTGGAACCAGGGCCAGCCTTCTAGAGTGAGTATTTCCCAGGAGCCCTTGGGTACTTTGACTCTATTTTGAACGGTTCTGATTAATTAATGCTGCTTTGTGAGGGGTTATTCAAAGAAATCATGAAGACCTATTACCGTTTGACATAGCATGGAAGAAGTAACTGTCTTAACAAAATGACACATACACACGCACACACCCCATCCCTGGGTTTCCTCTTTCTGAGTAAGGTTCCTTCTCCTCTGTACTTGGAAAGTTCTAGAACTCCCATTTCCTCACCTTGCATTGTATTAGATCCAGAATATGTTTGTAGGTCATCAGGCTCAACTGAGGTCCTTAAGCTTTTATTCATAGGTATCAGAAAGGAATCTATTCCTGATCAGCATGGGAAACTTATTCCACAGGAAAGAGAAACATCTAAGCACTCTCTCTGTCTTGCAAGCATTAAAACCCAGACACCAACACATCGGAAAGTTGCATCTCTGGCTGCGATCTCTCAGCAACATCAAGATTCAGGGAGTGCCCTTTACTAGTCCACGCCACCTTCCAAGGGGCTGGGGACAGCAAGGACGGGCCCACCTTTGTGGTTTTCAAACCTAAGTGTAGATCCAATTGTGTTTTTTTAGAGAGGTTTTTGCTATAGAGTGCGTGCATTCACCAGAAAGAGACAGAGAGATAGAAAGCGAGAAATCACCCCCAGGGGGGATGGCCACGCTGCAATCCCTTCTCCTCCATTCTCCTTGGGATCTTGGGCACGCACACACACACGCCCAGTGTGAGTTTAAGCCACCAGGTCCGGGACTCGAACCGCGTTTGACTACATCAGAGTTCAGCGACATAGCCATTACGCTAACTGCTGGTCCCAGTGTAGATCCAATTTTAAGTTCTTAAACAGCACCCAACCCTTACACAAATTGATATCCACCTCCCAATAAGTATTTTAGTTCCATGCAGTTCTTCCATGAAAAGGAATAGTCTTCCATGGCCTTGGGGGCATCAGATAACACCCACGTAGCTGATTTTTAACACTATATGTGGAAGTCGTGTTTCAGGGTACATTTGCCCCTGGTGTGTGGCAGAATGTTTTGTGAATTGTGTGGGTTTTTTGTTGTTGTTTAAATTGCCATATGATGCATGTGCTCTCTTGGGGAAGGGACAAGAGCAAGAGCACCCAATGGGGCATGGTCATGTCTATCTTTTCCCTCTGTTTCTTTATCCCATCAGGATTTGGGGCACACGTGCACATGCATCTGGCATGTTTTCAACTGCTGGGGTTAGGATTTAAACTGCAGTCATCCATACGTGACCTGGTTCCCTAGGCTGCGAGGCTCTGGGCTGGCCCCATGAGTCGTGTTGTTGTTGTTGTTTTCAGTCTTTGCTACAGGGCGCATACACTCACTAGAGACACACAAAGAGAAACAGAAAGTGAGAAGTCACCCTCTAGGGGAGGTGACCATGCCACAATCCATTCTACTCTCCATTCTACTCTTTATCTTGGACGCACACACACACACACATGCTCCTGGCATGATTTTTCAAGCCGTAGCGTCGGCCGTGTGGGA